TTGAGGTGGGCCTTTTTTTATGCATGTTGAATGGTGAGGTGGCATGTTTGCATGTTGAGAGAAATATGTTAGTGGGGGCTAGCTTTTTCAGGTGGGGGCGGGCGCACTCGGGCGTCCCTATATCCGCCTCATATTTAAGTTGAACTAGATGATGCCCCGCAAGTTGTTGCGGGAATCTTTTGCAATGTTTCATTGAGATTTGGTTATATCGAATATCAATACTTGAAACAATTGTTTTTTAAAGTATATAAGAATTAAATGTAAATAGCATAATAGAATGGAATTTGACATGCATGCATGTTGAAGTGGATTTTTACTATGCATAGTTGCATGTTGAGATGAACCTTTTTTTATACATGTTGAATGATGAGGTGGTATACTTGCATGTTGAAAGAAATATGTTAGTGGGGGCTAGCTATTTAGATATAGAAGATATGAGGGGTACTAGTCAGCCCTGCCATTTGAGACTCGTTAAGGTGCTTGTCTGGATCGTATTTTCATGACCAGTTAGTGATCGGACCTTCTGACCGGGCGTTTGAGTCGGATATAGGGCGCCCGTGGATGCTCTAATTTCCTTCAACAAAGGGATGATCACCATGTACTAGCATGTTTCTTTGTTGCGAGAGGACAGGGAGCTCCGGACGCATGGCAGTATGGGAATGGGGGCAGGGCAGAGCATAGAAGCGTGCCCGGTTCCGCTGGACTAGGTTGCCCGATCAACGCTAGGCAGTTCCTGGTCCCAGGCCTCGCGGAGCCCCGTTTCCCCATCGGGGCAGGCAGGTGATACGCAGTAACGCAGATCGCGTGGTCGCACTGCACGGAACGGGCTGTCGTCGGGCCTGTACACCGCAGCGCGCCAGCGCGCACATGCGGCGCCGGAAGCCGTCAGACGTCACGCGAACGACCGCGACGCGACCCGACCCGCCCGCCACGCGGCGACGGGCCAGGCGACACTTGGCTCTGCCGCCCCGCGCGGCCTCGACCGGAAACGGCCGCTCCCCACCTGAACCCCGACGCTCCTCCGCCCCACTCAACCCCGCGGCTCTCGCTCGCTCGACTCCTCCCCTTCACCTCCCGGGGCGCATTAACACCTTCCTAATCAGTTTCCCCTTCGCATCCCCGCACCAATCCGCGCCGCGTTCCAATCCATTTCCGCCCCCTCCAATCATCCCCAAACCCTACCCGCCGTCGTGCCGCCCGCCGACCGCCGCCGCCCGCCCGCCCGCCGCGCGGGGGCAGGGAGGCAGGGAGGAGGAGAAGATGGGCCGGTGGGGGATGAAGCTCGGCGACATGGCCGAGTTCCAGTGCTTCGTCTGCAAGGACGCCGGCGACGTCCGCGTCTGCGACTCCAGGTGAGCGCCGCCCCTCGCCGCGCCCCAGGGTTTTCTCCATCCTCTGTTCCGCGGGAGACCCGCGCCGCGTCGGCGGCCGGCGAATCGCCCGGTCATAATCGTCGCTGAATATTAATTGCACTGCCGTGCCGCCTTTCAGGAACTGCCTCAAGAGCTACCACCCGTGCTGCGTGGGGAAGGAGGACGACTTCATTGATTCCAGTGAGCAATACGTTTGTGGTAAGCGCTTACGCATAATGATTCCCAGTTGTTTCATCATGCGTGACTGCCGTGGGAATCGGCACTGCATCTGTGCAGTTGTTATGCTGCGTGCTCGTATCCAATTACTCATTCCTTGACTCCAAGGACCAATACATATACATTCGTGGTGGGCGTTTATGCTTACTCATACCTAGCTGTTTTACCATGCATGCCTGCTACTGGAATTGACGCTACATCGTGCACCTGTTTTCTGCGTGCTCAAATTCAGTTACTCGTTCCTTGGTCACGGCGGAGGATCCTATATCATATATCGTGCATGTGTGTGAAATCCCTGTTGTTCATGTCCCTGTCCTTTCCTTCCATGAAAAAGAAAATACTGTTGGATGCTCATCCTTTTAGAACATATGCTTTATCATTGTTCCAGCATCATGCAGCATGATGGCAAGGCAAACTGCGTTCCAGCAATGCAATATCTCCAACTGGAAACTTTGCAGGCATAAGCAGATCATGTTACAACGGAAGCTCATATTCTTGGTGTCCACTTTACAGTCTTGATTGTTACCATATATAGCTTGAATTTATCAAATGCTTCTTTTACTTCTGTCCTGTAAAATAATGACATTGGTGCTTTCGCCTAATTTTAACCATTTTCAGATTGGCACAAATGTGCTAAATGCGGAAGTGATGCACTCTATTTATGCTTGTGCTGTCCAAGTTCCTCTACTTGTGGAGACTGCTTTGGAAAAATTGATTTCATCCCAGTGAAGCAGAGCAACGAATTCAGCATGGGATTCTGCCGCAGCTGTTTTAATATGGCAGTAGCGACTGAGAAAGATGACCGTGAAGAGGTAATATGCATGCCCCAGGCCCATTTTTGAATTACAGTAACGAGCTTCCATTTCAAAGTGGTACTCAAGTTCCAATTAGCACGCATGCTATTCCATTAGTTGTCACCCCCCTCCCCCATCCCCCCAAAAATTAACAGCCTTGTTGCTTACCATAAAGCTATTCACCATATATTTACCTGCAAGTTGCCCACCTGCACTTGTGTTGGATTTCTTAGTAGATAGAAGTCAGGCTGGTTTAAATAAAAATGCCAGTTTACTCATCCAATATGTTTTTTTCCCTTTTGTCTTTTTGTGACAAGAGTTCATGTGCATCTCCAGGCAAAGGTTGCTTTCGGAGGTACCCCGGAGAACTATGAAATATTGTTTAAAGATTACTGGTCAGTACTTAATGACAAGGAGCGTTTTACATTGCTCGACTTGCAAATTGCAAGTATTCGTCATAAAAGAAGCCTACAGTGTAAAGAAGGGAATGATTCGAATGAGTATCACAAGACAGATGGAAAGCCATTGGGTGACAATGATGGTGCTGGGCCATCATCTCTTCTTGACACAATGGACAAACCAAATGAAGTGCAAGCTACTCTGAAGAGAAAGAAGCTGGAGAAGAAAACATATGTTGGGTGGGCTTCAAAAGAGCTAACAGAATTCCTATCATGTATTGGTAAGAATACAAGCACGCCTCTTGACCATTTCAAAGTTGCTGAAGTTGTTAGGGAGTATGTTCGACAGAAAAATCTACATCTACATGATAAGAAGAAGAAATCTGTCATGTGTGATGAGAACCTGCATTCTTTATTTAACAAAAAGAAAATTAAGTACAACATGATCCATAGCCTGGTGGAAATGCATCTTTCTGCAAATGCAATTTCAGAGGATGAAAGTGATGGATCTGTGGATGATACTGGTTACACGGTGAAAAAGAAGCCTCGGAATAGTTTGGAGCCAAAAATTCCTAAGAGTGTTTCAGGAATAGACCCAATAATTCCTAAGAGTGTTTCAGGAACAAACAAGAATTGTCTTGCCGCTCTCAATCCGAATAACCTGAATCTGATTTATCTGAGAAGAACCTTAGTTGTAAAACTTCTGACTGAGCTAGACACATTTGAACAGAAGGTTATTGGTTGTTTGGTCAGAGTGAAGAATGATCTCAAGAGTTATACTTATATGATGACTAAGAAATATTACCAGATTGGACTAGTTACAGGTAATGTCCAGTTGAATCCACTCGTCTTCTGATGATCCTGCTATTTTTTTCCCATTCTAAGGGAGGCCTTAATTTTCTCACCCCATGAAAACATCCATAACAGGCATTAAGAAATCTTCAGAAGAATACAAGATTAAGAATACATTTACAGATGTTCTTTTATGTGTTTCCGGTATGTGGGATGATGTCAAGATCTCGATGCTATCAGAAGAGGACTTTGAGGAGGTATGTTTTGTTCACTCCAGTAGGATTTATTTTAGCATTGGCCTGGTCACCTACTCCAAATACAGCCTTCTTTTTGAACTGGCCTGGTCAAATAATTCTCTTTTATTCTTGATAACAGGATGAGTGCAATGATCTTCTGAAGTCGGCCAAGAAAGAGCTCTTCAAAAGGCCTACTGTTGTAAGTTTTCTTTTTTAACTGCAATGTTTGCGCTCCTTGTGCTATGCGTCTGTAGTCAAATTGGTCTAGGCATTTATCTCTCTTTCTTCTCTGTTCCCATTTGATGCTTCCATGACTAACAAATAATACTTGAGGAGGAAGATCAGGCCTACATTATTTAGTCATAACTCATAAGGAAGGGATTTCTTTTCAAGGAATTGACTGTCGGTAGTCCTTTTGGATACTGCTCCCTCCGTCTCAAAATGTAAGACATTTTCTGATACTCACTTTGTATCAAAAAACGCCTAACATAGTTACATTTTGAGACAGAGGGAGTATTTCTGTAACTGAGATTATGTAGGATAGAAAATGTTGAGTGTCTCGTCAGGAAACTCCTGTGTTTGTTAATACCTAATCATTGATGTATTTAGTCTACTCCTTTTGGTTATAAAATAAATGTCATTCTGGGCAGTAAGTTCTCCAAATACACTTTGGATTAGCAGCTTCTCCTGTAACAATTGTAGAACCAGATTAAAATACAAATTATGAAGTATTCTTGAGATAGATCTGCCCATATGATTTTCCTGAAATGAAATCAATCTAAGTATTTTAATATTCACGACTACATTCTTGGCCAAAATTTAGACTCCACATGTCCCAAGGTGTCACTCTTTGATTGGAGGGGGTAATGTAGAAAGTGCACATGAGATCAGACAGCAAATATTTTGGTACCGTACAAGCCAGCTTGTTAATTTTGTGCTTTTTAGTTTCTGATATATTGAAAATGTTTGAAGGGCTTATTCTTTATCCCTTTTTAGTGTCATTCAGTCTCTTGTTTTACTTTAGCCTTTTAAAACATTCGTGTGCTTCTCTTAATGCTCAGGTTTGTGCTTTTTCCTTTTTGACAGGCTGAGTTAGAGGAAAAAGCGGCAAGTGTACATGCAGACATAGTAAATCATGTAAGTGCACTCTGATCACTTCAATTTGGAACTTTATTGTGGTAAATATTGAATGAAAATACATATAAATGGGAAATTTTTATAACTAATTTGTTATCTGAAGCAATATAGAAAGAGGCCAGCTGATTATAAATCTTTTTGAGTAAGATAGAGCATGACTCAGCAAAAGATTCTTATGTACTCTTTTAAGTCTTAACTTTAACTGCATAAAGGAGTATCACACTTTCAACCTTGGCCTGTGTTAGAACTTGTATATACCAGTAGTTGTTTTGTCTTTGTCTTTAGTTTGATATTTGAAGTCTTCTACTCCCTCTGTCCGGGTTTATTGGGCCCTTGAGCACAAGAACCCCGTCCGTTTTTACTAGGCCCCATTGGTGATTGTGTACAAATTTCTGCTTTGAATTAATTGCCGAGGCGTAAAGAAGGATGCCAAAGGCCGGAGTCTGCGCTACACATGCGTAGCTGCGCGCGCGTGAGCATGCATCCATCCGCATCATTGGAGGAGAGTTGGTGGGCTCGTAGCTGCATGCCTAGTCAGCAGTAATTGACATGCCAAACGAGGCACTAACTAGCAGCAGGAGGTATTAATGCCTTAAAAAAGCCACACATAATTACTTGCTACCTTGGTCCTGCTGATTTGGTCTAGGCCTAATAAACCTGGGCGGAGGAAGTAGTATTAGAAGTTTAGGGTAGACTTGTTCATGCTCAGCTGAGTCGGTCTGGACTGTTTTTTTGACACCTGAACAGTTTCGGCCTTCTCCATATCCTGATAAAGGTAAAATGTAATAGACAGATATTGTATTAAGAAGATTATGAATGCAATATTCTTCCCTGAAAATCAACCAATGTTTTTAGTGTGGACATGACCTTTTAAGATCAGGCTTTAGGTCCGGCGCTGGAATGACCTCTAGCTAGGTGGTTGGATATCATTTTTCCTAAGTTGGCTGGATTTAATGGCGTACTCATGGGTTATTAGATTTTCCCAACCATTCTTCAAAAGGAAACTTTTTAGATGTTTTTAGTAGAATGCTACCTTGATTGCATGCTTGCTTATGTTTGTTATATAGATACCATATGGAGCTTGAAGAGAAAATCTGGGTTCTCATGAAACTGAATAGTAGTGCTCCCTACTAATATATATCGTTTCTTTCTCGATATCCATATGCTTCTACGCAATAATTGGCAAAGTTGCCTTTTTTTTCCTTTAGTGGTTTGATAAGGAGCTTCGAAAATTGGAAATGGAGTTGGAACGAGCGCGTGAGAAGGGGTGGCGTCAGGAATATCCTTTCCAGATTGACTGTATTGATCATGCAGCAGTAACTTGCCATGCTTGTGATTTGTAGTTTTGTATAATTTTTCATATTATTTTACTATCGTGTATTGCCAGCCTACGACTTAATGCACAGGAAAGAAACTTTGTGTGGTTCTTTTTTCCTTGACCAATTCTTACTATCCATGACATAAGTTGTCAGAAAATGCTTCTAAGCACACCAGAAGAAAGACAGCGCCGTCTTGAGGCGACCCCGGAAGTTATTCCAGATGCTGAAGGGGAGAGTAAAGAAACTGGGATTGAATCAGCAGTGAACATTCCTTTTCAAGGGAATCGAGGTACAAATGTAAATATATAATACTCCTTCCGTCCCAAAATAAGTGACTCAACTTTGTACTAACTTTGGACTAAAGTTATTACAAAGTTGAGTCACTTATTTTGGGATGGAGGGAGTAGTTGTTTTTCTCTTTCATTCTAAAAGCTTTATATTCATAATGCTGCCAAATATGTTCAAAGCAGGAGAAAGACAGCAACGTCTTGAGGTGATCCCCGAAGTTATTCCAGATGCAGAAGAAGGGAGTAAAGAAACTGAGATTGAATCAGCAGCAAGGAGCCCTTTTCAAGGGAGTCGAGGTACAAACGCTTGAAATTTCTGTTCTTAATTATATAGATATTTTTTTATCTTTCATTCTATAAGCTGTATATTCTTATGCTGCCAAATATGTTCAAAACATTGCATCCTCCATCCAATATCTCCCCATTGGTTCCCATTATGGAAAACAACATTACAGAAGTTATTTCTTTGCTGATTCTTTGGAGAACTTTTAGTTGTTAATTATACTGTCACCAACCATTTGATTTTGTCACTGCACAATTCTTGTGTGAAGTTGCTGCATAAGTTTTCCATATCATTTTTACTAAGTCCAGCATTTGATTGTATTTACCCTTGTAGAAGTTTTACATGGGAATTGTTTGTCAGGGAAGATTGTGATTTAGTATTTACAAGCAGGCAAGTAAATGAAATATAGTGCGGAGGTGAACGAATTTTGAGTGAATATGACTAATACCGCCTAAGTATCTGAATTTATGCATGTGGCTGTGAATGCATATAGTATGTATGCTTAGGAGTTGGTACGATGTACTCCCTCCGTTCCTAAATATTTGTCTTTTTAGAGATTTCAAATGGACTACCCCATACGGATGTATATAGACATATTTTAGAGTGTAGATTCACTTATTTTGCTCTGTATGTGGTTACTTGTTGAAATCTCTAGAAAGTCAAATATTTAGGAACGGAGGGAGTATAAGAGTAGACATCAGACTATGAAAACCCACTGTAAACATTCAGTTGACATAACATAATATGACTACAAGGGAATGCCAAACATCAACTCCTCTAAAACATAGGCTGTTTACATCCAGATTTCCACATCATCCAGAACTTAAATGCAGTAGTGTACTTTATCTTGGATGACTCATCTATTAGTTGATCTGGAGTTATTTACCATTAAATTTGGTCGTGTTTTAAACTATTCCTGAACTGCTTCTCCTTTCAATATATTTATAGTCTTGGTCCTTTAATTGCCATCTTATTTAGGTTCAACTGTCAAGTAACTTACCTGTGCAGAGGTGTTCAGAGATCCCCATGAAGACGCCTTACATCAGTTCTTTTATGATCCTTTTGAAATACTAATCCTTTATGTGAAAAAGGAGCCGTCACCTATTTTGAAACATGGTCGATGCAGAACATGTGCATGTGTGTTAGAAGTACGAGTCAACACAGGTCTTGTGTTTCAGAAGTTATGCTCATTTGAAAAAGGAAACGTTTTGGATTTTTTTTGCTTTTGTTGTATAAACTATAAATATTGACTTTGTGACCTGTTTACCAAACATTGTGGAGTCAATTGATTGAACATTATGTTTACATTGGCCACTTCCTTTTTGCACCCAAGTTTTTTTTCTATTTCGAGAAAACATCAAAGATTGATGTCTCGATGCATTGATAAAAATTGCCAAAACAGCAAGGTTTATGTACATGTACATGCCTAGGGATAGGCCATCCCTCCATAAACACAGAAAACCATTTAACTGCCAATGTCAGGGAGAAGCCAAACTCCTGCGACGCCCACCAATTTTTGACATAGATAGTAATAGACTGGCCTTTTCAATTGCATGCCTAAATGTTATGACACTTATCTTATATATTTAAAACATGAATGTTACCTTCTGAAACAACTCCATTTAATAACAATTATCGATGCACCGTGTGTGCTATCAAGAGACATTTGTAGTCCTAGAAGAAAGCTGAGATAAGTTTTCGGCCACCTCCATCGTTCAGTAGCCCATTGAAACCAGTGCGTTAGTTGCATCTGCACTAGGAGGCATCTGCATTAGGAGGCGCTCCCTGTAAAACTTCTGGAACACCTGCACTTGAAACTAGCGCATGGAGGAGTGGCCAACACAAATTGGTAGTATGTACACGTGGTTACTGAATTCCTGACACGACAAGTGTGGATAATTTGAGCAATACTGCACCAATGCGTGCAAGTGGCAATAAGGCCTAAACTGCTTGACCACTTTAGCTGGTGAGGCCTATATGGTTAGGTCGAGCAATATTTAGCAACTATCCCGATTCAATCTCGGTTCATCTAAATTTAGCTGTTGAAGCCTAAATTATTTGCTCAATCAGTACCTTAGCTACATCCTAGTGATCAAACTAAAGCATCGTCCGATTTTCATAGTCTCAAGCTTCGTTAAATAAGGAAACAAACTGTACTATAACCCCAGCTCGCAATTTCTGCTGGAATTTGACTGGAGCAACTAGTCAAACCCTGATGATATTCTAGCAAGTTTAACTTAAGCGATGGTATAACCTGCTATTAGATAGGTAGGTTCGGGTGGATTTAGCATAATACGCCTTCAATGTTTTGCAGCTTGTATTCTCACCATATTACCACCAATGACTCAGATCACATGCTCCGTATTAAACACCGGGTTGTGCATATATAGGTATATTAAAATAAAGCAGTGGGCCCTAATTTTAAGCGAATAGGTATTGTGTGAACAAATTTGTCGCCAAATTGTGTTTAAATTGTGTTTGCTGATGCTTTTTTTAAGGACCGACCTGGCGCAGTGGTGAAGTACTCCCCACTTGTGCCAAGAGGTCCCGGGTTCGACGCAGCCCTTCTGCATTGCACTGTGCAGGGTGAAGGCATGCCTTTGCACCTTGTATTCTCAGCATATTACCACCAATGACTCAGATCACATGCTCCGTATTAAACACAGGGTTGTGCATATATAGGTATATTAAAATAAAGCAGTGGGTCCTAATTTTAAGCGAATAGCTATTGCATGAACAAATTTGTCGCCAGATTGCTTTAAAATTTTGTGTTGTTGATGCTTTTTTTAAAGATCGACCTGGCACAGCGGTGAAGTACTCCCTACTTGTGCCAAGAGGTCCCGGGTTCGACGCAGCCCCTCTGCATTGCACTGTGCAGGGTGAAGGCACGCCTCATATAATCCTTCCCTAGATCCCACCTGGTGTGGGACCTTCTAGCACTGGGTCTTTCCTCTCTTTGTTTTGTTTAGATGCCTTATATATTTTCATAACAAATACTAGATTTTCTTACCGGAAAGTACTTGACTATTTCTGTAGTGATGCAATATTACTTCAATGTATAATCTGGATCCAACATAAATTATGGTTCATATTTCTTCCCAGTTTCATATTTGCTTATGCTTTCCTTTTTAAGGTTAGATACCTAGTGTGCAAACTTTAAAGTGTTGAGTGTAAATTTGTTTGTATTCAGAACTGCACCGTTATAATCTGGCGTTTTATTTTTGAGGTGCATGTCATGAGTCGATTAATATTTTTGGAGTTGAGTTTATTTTCACCATGTTTTCTCCCTTAGGGTTCCATTCCATGTATATTTTCTATTCGTCACCTCTAATTTTCTACCTAACAACAAGTTTCACTGCTTAAGCCTTTACTTCTTACTATTAGATCAAACTTTTCAATATAAAGATCTACTCTCCTTTCTTTTCTCAGGTGTGATACAGACAGTAGTTGACCCTTTGGAAGTTGGTATAGATGAATCACTAGAAGGTTTGTATTTGGTAACCAGATATGGTTTTTTCTGAAAGCTTATGTTTGAAGAGACTATTATACCCATCTTTTCTTTAATTAACGTACTGGCAATCTTCTCTCTGTCTCCAGGTGCATCTCTGCGACATGACGCTGCCTGTGAAGTTGTTTTTGAAGGTACTCTACAGCAATTCTTTCTTTCCTTATTTGCATCTTTTGCATTGTTAGTAGCCGTTGCCAAGTAGAGAGTGGACGTCCTGATTGCAGCGGCAGCTGATCGCAACTATCCAGCCGGTCGCCCAGCTATTCTTATGTAGTAGACTGCAAATAAAATGAAATCTGCATGCCCTCTCTATACTGCTACCTGAAAATGGAATAGCAAATCAGCACTCGTTTGGCGCTTAGAGAAAAAACTACTTAAATATCAGACAAATTGCAAGGAACTAATGCTACACATTCCACTTTTGTAGCCACTATTAACATTTGACTTGCAACGTACGCTATCCCCCTCGCGCGGCTGTTGCCCCAGTAAAGTTCAGTACGATCCTTGTGAGGAGTTAGCACTATGTGTGATCCCTATGAAGAGTTCTACTTTCTTGTGTTAACATGCTGATATAGTGTCTGTAAATAAGAATATTCACATATGAGCATAGTTTATACGATCCTTGTGAGGAGTTAGCACTATGTGTGATCACTATGAAGAGTTCTACTTTCTTGTGTCTAACATGCTGATATAATGTCTGTAAATAAGAATATTCACATATGAACATAGTTTATCTGTTTCTGAGGATTGGTGATTGTGTCTGCTATGAGCTGTCCTCTTATTTTAGTATTTTACTCTCATCTATCTTCTTCCAGGGCTCCTGATTTATTGATTGCATGCAATTGCTATTGTTAGAGTTGGATCTTTATGTATCCATGTTAATCCTTGCAGCTGCCGGCAAAGCCCTCTGTAATGGTGGCACTCCTGGTCCTGGATTGCACACTCAACTGAACAAAGGTCAAATTTCGCTACTCGACCCATTCGATAGTTCTGAACATGTTAGCTTGCCGGAGGTTTTTTATGCTGCATATTGAGTTACTGTTCTTGTGAGGAGTTAGCACTACGTCTGATCCCTACGAAGAGTTCTACTTTCTTGTGTCTAACATGCTGATATAATGTCTGTAAATAAGAATATTCACATATGAGCATAGTTTATCTGTTTCCGAGGATTGGTGATTGTGTCTGCTATGAGCTGTCCTCTTATTTTAGTATTTTACTCTTATCTATCTTCTTCCATGGCTCCTGATTTATTGATTGCATGCAATTGCTATTGTTTGAGTTGGATCTTTATGTATCCATGTTAATCCTTGCAGCTGCCGGCAAAGCCCTCTGTAGTGGTGGCACTCCTGGTCCTGGATTGCACACACCATTGAACACAGGTGAAATTTGCTACTCGACCCTTTTGATAGTTATGAACATGTTAACTTGCCGGAGGTTTTTTATGCTGCATATTGAGCTACTGGTCTTGTGAGGAGTTAGCACTATGTGTGATCCCTATGAAGAGTTCTACTTTCTTGTGTCTAACATGCTGATATAATGTAAGTAAATAAGAATATTCACATATGAGCATAGTTTATCTGTTTTCGAGGATTGGTGATTGTGTCTGCTATGAACTGTCCTCTTATTTTACTCTCATCTATCTGCTTCCATGTATCCTGATTTATCGATTGCATGCAATTGCTATTGTTAGAGTTGGATCTTTATGTATCCATGTTAATCCTTGCAGCTGCCGGCAAAGCCCTCTGTAATGGTGGCACTCCTGGTCCTGGATTGCACACTCAATTGAACACAGGTCAAATTTTGCTACTCGACCCTTTCGATAGTTATAAACATGTTTACTTGCCGGAGGTTTTTTATGCTGCATATTGAGCTACTGGTCTTGTGAGGAGTTAGCACTATGTGTGATCTCTATGAAGAGTTCCACTTTCTTGTGTCTAACATGCTGATATAATGTCTGTAAATAAGAACATTCACATATGAGCATAGTTTACCTGTTTCCGAGGATTGGTGATTGTGTCTGCTATGAGCTGTCCTCTTATTTTAGTATTTTACTCTTATCTATCTTCTTCCATGTCTCCTGATTTATTGATTGCATGCAATTGCTATTGTTAGAGTTGGATCTTTATGTATCCATGTTAATCCTTGCAGCTGCCGGCAAAACCCTCTGTAATGGTGGCACTCCTGTTCCTGGATTGCACACTCCATTGAACGCAGGTCAAATTTTGGTACTCCACCCTTTCGATAGTTATGAACATTTTAACTTGCCGGAATTTTTTTACGCTGCATATTGAGCTCCATTTTCCATCAATTTATGAGTTTGGTCTTATTAATAACGCAAGTAATTAGAACGCAGTGGACTGTGAAAAAGATGTTTAGCATTTAGCTTGCATTTTACCCATTCGTACATACATGGTTTACTATTCTGGTTGTATGGAGGGAGGTTTGATCAATCCCACAATATAAAATGCATTGAAATACTATTCCTAAGCCATGTGATAGTAACTGCTTTTCTGCCTGTTTCCCTTCCCTAGTAAAAAATAATCTTGTGAAGTTACTGCAGTTACTGGAGTCATTGATATCGACAACGAGGATGATGGAAATGGTCCTAGTCATCACACTGGTGGTGACAAGGAATATGTCATCGATCTGGTCAGTGATGACGACGAGGATGTTCACATGGAGCAGCGTGAGCGAGAACGGGCAAAATGTGATGGACCAGTAGCCGTTAATGGGATCGCTGCGCATGCACATGACGGACCGGAAGCTGTCAATGGGGTCACCGTACCTACAGTCCATGCTTCCAATGATCTGGATGGAAACACGGGGCCTGCATGCAGTACGTCACAAGCCATGGTGCGTGATCCTGTAACTGTGAATGGGACAGGCAAGTCAGATCAAGGGTGGATGTACATAGATCCTCAGGGGCGAGAGCATGGGCCATACCCAATGGCTCAAATGCGGGAGTGGCAGCAAAGTGGGTACTTCCCTGAGGGCTTCCGCGTGTGGAGAGCAGGGAGATCAAGGCGGGGGAGAGCCTCCATGTTGCTGATAGATGCCATGCGGCTGCATTAGTGCAGTGGCCTTTTTGCGTTGCATTCTGCTTGGAAAGCTTTGGGAGTACAATTTTGTTCGTTCCTTTGCTTAATTGTAACTGAGCTGGGCACCATTATAGTTGATATGTTATTGTGGATATTTGGTTTGGGTAGGAGATGGTCAGAGTGGAAAACTCTCTTGCTGTACAGTCAACTCCTTGCTCCTCTCTATTTTAGCAACATAGTCATTTTTAGCGAATTTTGATATAGGTAATTCCCATAGCATAGAAGTTCAGATTTGTTTTGTGTTGTCAGTGTAGATTGGATCTTGACAGCAATAGTTTGGGCCTAATTGATTCATGCCCGCATTTTGTTGAATAAAAGCTGGTAAACTTTTGACTTTTCATGGCAAATGTTTTGTTTATCACTGTTCTTGTAAATCTATGATCTGTTTTTTAGCCACATTCCCAACAAACTATTATGGCTTACATATCTTTTGTTGAAGTTAGTTATGACCAGGTGAACACATCGCAGCGTAATTTTCCTATGCCATACGGCGGAGAATTCCTCGATTGCGATTCGAAATGTGATCAGATAGTATAGATAAATAATGAGCTGCTGGTTTTGCCCATGCTTGCGTTGACACCCGCTGATCTCCAGTCATCAATGCAGGAGGATCTTAAAGCGACGTAGCATCTCTTTCCCATCCGATAAGCACCCGACGGGCTAAGATGCATCTTTACAGCCTGATTGGTAAACACTTGGGCAAGGGAATGGAAGTTTGCACAAGAGTGTTTATGAAGGGATTAGGCATGAGAAGTAGATTTTTACTCCCATTCCCTTGTTTGGCATATGATGGGAATTGACGTGGGATAAAACTCTCCTCACGAATTAACAGGGTACCCTCTGGAAAGAAATCGGTGGGAATTGGCTTCCCCAACTCCCAGTCCCCTTCCCACTTAAACTCCCATTCCCTCTAATCAAACAGTGGATTTTTAATCTCCTTACCCCTCAACCTTCATTCCCCATCTCTAATTCCCCTGAACCAAACACGCTTTTAGTGGTTAGCGCCCATTCCGGCCCGCCCAAAGGAAAGGGCTGCGACTTTTAGGAGATAAAACACTCAGCACAAAGCCTCACATGATTTACTCTTTTATCTACCACTCATCCATTCCTAAATATAAGCACTTTTGGATATTTCAATATGAGCTATATAATTCAGAATGTAGATTCACTCATTTTGCTTCGTATATAGTTCATATTGGAATCTTTAAAAAGACTTAAAATTAGAAATAGAGTCAGTACCAGTTATACCTGGCCATGGGCAGCCCGGCCCGGTTGGCCCGACCCAAAAAAACCTGGCCCGACGCTCCTCACGGGCTGGGCCTGAGCCTAGATATTGAGCCCGAAGTTTGGGCCAGGCCCGGGCCCGTCATATTTGCGAGTTAACGAAGAGGCCTGGCCCAAGGCCCGAGGCCTGATGGGCTTTTACATTAATGGGCTGGGCTTGAGCCTGATTCTTAGGCCCGACGCCTGGGCCGGGCCGGGCCTGGGATTTCTACGTCGGGCTTGGTCAGGCCGACCCAAAGCCCGGCCCGAGGGATGGCTAGGTATAGTACCAGTCTAGCAAGCTTATATCATGCATAAAGTAGGAAACATCTCAAATCATGCACCTTGTGCAGAATCTAAATTTTACACCGATACGGATAACTGCTGCACCGGGGCGATATGAATATGTACATGCATCATTTTTTTAAACATCAATATGGGGAGCGAATCAACCTGTAGTTGAGTTGGTTAGGTGGACAGTGGTATTCCCAACCCATCAGAGTTCAAATCCTGGTGCTCGCATTATTCCTGAATTTATTTCAGGATTTCCGGCGATGCGCTTTCAGTGGGAGGAGACGTTCCCGTCGACGACGAGGCGCCCACGGTGACTTGGTAAAGCCTACGGTGACTTCGTAAATCTCAAGATGATATGCCGGCTCAGTCTCTCGGAGGTACTCATAGGGGTAGGGTGTGCGTGTGTGCGTTCATAGGGGTGACTGTATGCGCGTGTATATGAACGCTTGTGTCTGTACTGATGCTAAAAAAAACATCAATATGGGGATATGTTTGACTGTTTAATAATAATAATAATAATAATAAAAACAACAACAACAACAACAATAAATGTTTGTTCTGTTATTTCATACTTTCTTTATCCCAAAATAAGTTTGATACACTTGTCATGGGACGGAGGGAGTATAATGGAACTTGGCTCCCATCTGGGAGGCGCATGAAAAACAATATTGATGAACAAGTTAACAATTAAGCATATCATCGAGCTATTTAGCATGTATTCAGTCCATTCTCTTCTATCTTCTTATCCATGATTCCAACAAAAGCCAACCAACGGCCAAACAAACGTAAAAGTTCCATTAGAGTTCTTTCAAAAAAAGTTCAATTAGTAAGAAAAAGGGAGGAGGAAATCATCAGTCTGCCATTAGATAGAAATCTATAGGAGAGTGGTGGGAAGAGGGAGCAGGAGCACCGGAGAAAGAAGCCCACCACCGGCTTACCGATGGCACCGCTGGAGCTTGTGAGGGGGAGGTGAATAGCCCACCGCCAACTTACACCAGCCACAAAATTTGGTGACTTTGCCAATAGTCTATACTACTATTAAAAGAGTGAACATGAATTTTCCTAAAGCCACACCACAAAAGTGTACACGGAATAATCAAGATCCTCCGATCTGATCATCTAAGGGCATGTACAATAGTTGATAAGATAGTTTTATCTTAAATTTTGCATGTAATTTAGAGATGGCAAAGAAAAATGTCTACAATGGGTCATCTCTTAGCTTTATCTTCAATAAGGGCATGTACAATGGTTGATAAGATAGTCTTATCTTAAGTTTTGCATGTAAATTAGAGATGACAAGAAAACATGTCTACAATGGGTCATCTCTTAGCCTTATCTTCAATAATTAGTTGTTCCTAAAAATATGATGAGACAAATTGTGCTAAGAGATCATCTCTTGTCTTCTCTTAAATAAGATAAGACAAGCCTTCTCTTATGATTTTTCTCTCCTCCACCTCATCATTTATCCTACGTGGCACTCTTAAGATAGAACCATTGTACATGCCCCTAGCAATTCCTAAAAATGCGGTGAGACATATAGTGCTAAGAGATCATCTCTTGTCTTATCTTAAATAAGAGAAGACAAGCCTTCTCTTATGAGTTCTCTCTTCTCCACTTTATCATTTATCCTACGTGACATTTAAGATAGCACCATTGTACATTCCCTAACGAAATCTAAGAGCCGATATTACTTTGATGGTCTGCCTCCCGATCTAACGGCTGATGATAAATGTTCTGCCGTGGTCTGCCCGCAATCGGATCCCGACAAGATCTAACGGCTGATGATAAATGTTCTACCGTGGTCTGCCCGCGATCGGATCTCGACAAGATCTAACGGCTGATGATAAATGTTCTGCCGTGGTCTGCCCGCGATCGGATCCCGACAAGTTCGGATCTCCCTCCCCACGCTCCTGCAGTCCACGATATCGTTCTCACGATTCCCTCCTGGACCTGCGGGATTTCTCTCCTCCACGTCTCTTCCACACCTCCTCCCGAACCCTCTATCCCGCCAGAGGTGGAGTGTGACGGGCGCAGATGGCGGCCACAAAAGCGCGCGGCTGAGGACGGCGCCGAACGACGGGCATTATCGTCGGATCTTCCCGGCCAACCCCGCTCCTCTGCGAGCACCTGGCCGCCCCGGCTGCCTCCAGCGCCTAGCGGCACTCCGCCTCCACTGCTCCACCACTTCCTGGCCGCGCCCGAGCCCCCGCTGCTCCGCCAGCGCATGGCCACCCCGGCTTTGAGCTTTGGCGGCGTGTCCCAAGTCCCCACCATTAGCGGACAGGGCGATGACAAGGGCCGTCGGTAGTGCACGTGGGGAGGCGTAGAACGGAGGGGCGAGCTGCTAGGTACGCTGGACACGCCGCAAAAGCTGGGTACGCGATACACACTTCCGTTGCCAGGGACGTGGATAGCTGCTAGGTATGCTGGTGCTGCTGTTGCCGGTCTGATGTCGTTGCCGGGATAGTTGCAGATAGGTTGAATCTGGTACGCCATATCCATTACCCCAATCTTTTTACATCAGCAGCAACTGATTCCCCACATCTAACACACGTAGTCGCCATGGCCGACCTTCAGCGGAGCAACACAATGAAGGGTGGTGACAGGGGAGTAGGCGCGTGGCTGGGAGCAAGCCGGTGGGGCCCGTGGCAGATGCCTGCGGCGGGTGAGCAGTCGGCGCGGATAATAGCAACCATGCAGCATCAGGTTCCCCAGTGGGATGATATGCAACGGAGGTCAGGATATCAGATATATGCATGATGTTACTTGTTTTGGACAAAAATCATGGTATTTCGTTGGTTTTCTGATAAGAGAAATCACATGCCTTCCAAGTTCTAGCTTTCCGTGCAGGTAACATCGCTAGCTTCTGCCATATATTGGACCAGTGAAAGTCTCTGTGCTCACAACGTGTTCGACGAAATAACAATGGTGTTGTGCTTTTGAGGTCAGTCTCCAAAAGGGAGCATCTGCAGGCATGTAAGTTGCCGGACGCGGCGCTCTCCACATGCAGGAGGATTTATGGAAGAGGAAAACATGCATGGGAAGGGGCAGAGGGGGTTCTGCATCGCCTCCAGCAGCACCATATTCAAGGAATTCGTACAGCAGTGTTACCTCTTGCCTTCCAGTTTGCTTTCATGGTTAAACTCATGTTTAAATATATGGACGTGTCCTTTTGAATATGTAAATGTTACATCTCTGATAATTTGCATGGTATATCTAACCATTCTGCCCTTTCTTTATTATTTAGCGAAGGTAAGATGAAATTTACCTGTGTGTAGTGTAACATGTTATGTAGGTAGACCAGACATTCAGATTTGAAAACTGTTTGGCCATGGCCATACATTTAGCTGCTTGGAGTATATTACCTGCACAGGCTCCTTAGTTACATGGTTCCCAACTTCGCATTATGTATGGCAA